CGCAGGAACTACATTCACTCGGCTGACTTTTGCCTTGACGTTTTGAGCGTAATGCCGACCGACCTGCTGTACTTCGCATTTGGGTTGAGCATTCCGTATGTAAGAATGAATCGACTACTTCGTTTCCGGCGTGCAAACGAATGCATCGACACAATCGAAACAGTGAGCAAATGGCCGAACGTCTTACGCATCGTCGAACTGTCTGCCATTGCGTTCGTCCTGTTCCACTGGGACGGCTGCTTCTACTTTATGCTCAGCCGCTGGTACGGCATTGGAATGAGCTCATGGGCTTTCAACTACGGCCGTATAGTTGATCCAATCGCCAATTGCCCGGCGGATAACACAACGTTCTGGACATCGTACGAGAATATGTCCACCTGCAAGCCCGTCGTATTTCCTAACCTGACGAAGCAGTATTTGCTGAGCTTCTATTGGGCAGCTCTTATACTGGACTCGGTCGGAGAACAACCTCCGCCGGTCGAGATCGGCCAGTACATATTCACAATCACGAACACGATCATTGGCACGTTTGGACTAGCGTCGATAGTCGGCAATGTCAGCACAATGATCACCACCATTAACATCAGCCAGACGACATTTATGGAATGCCTGGACTCGGTGAAACGGTACATGGAGTTCCGCAAGGTACAGCCCATTCTGAAGCGGCGCGTCATCGACTGGTTTAACTACGTTCGCGAGGAGAAACTCTCACTGGACGATAACAAGATTCTGTCCGTGCTTCCAAAGAACCTGAGGAGTGAGCTGTCGATCGCCATCCATCTGCATACGATGGCTCAGGTGAAACTGTTTCAGGATTGTGAGCCAGGTCTGATGGCCGAGATAGTGGTGCGTTTAAAGTTGCAGATATTTAATCCAGGAGACTACGTCTGCCGCAAAGGAGACGTTGGTAACGAAATGTACATCGTCGAAAAGGGCGTGATTAACGTGGTTGCCGAAGACGGCGTTACCACTTTTGCCACACTTTCAGAAGGAAGCGTTTTTGGTGAAATAAGGTATTATTTACGGTTCGGTTTTAAACGACATTTTTTGGTTTCATATTTACGTAAAAGTTCAGAATAACATAGCAAAGCAGCAAATTCTAAATTTCAAACTACTTTATAATAAATTTACGTTGATGAAGTAATTTCTTCTTTGAATTGGTTTTCTCATTCAAATCCGTTCATCCCTGCGAACGTAAGTGCACGTAACCAGCAAGTTTTCGCTAAATGGCATGCTTATCTTGGTTTAACATTTTTTCTAATCAGGATTATGATTGTGATTATGACGGTCGCAATTTTATTTTCTTAAATTTTTGGATCTTTTGGTCCTGTTTCATCAATAATTATTTTTCTGAGGTTCGGGTATCTATCATCATGGTTCACACTTAAGCTTTACGAACGGTAGAAAATCAGTGCCAGTTTCTTTGCATTCTTCCATCATCACGGTTCCATAGGCAAATCAGTGAGTACCAAATTTTATCTGGATTTTTTGTTCAGATCATTGGTTTTCCAAAATTATCAAACATTCATACCCCTTCTTTCTCCAAGATTTAATACTGTTCTATCGATTGGCTGATGTTGACCTTCAATTTCAGTCAGAGATTCATCCGGCTGTATGGTGCTGTAGCACAGTTGTTAAGAATTCGACTTCGAACTCCAGAAATGCCAGGCTCAAATCCTAAGAATGAACAAAGATGTCTTAACTGCAAATTCTCTTGAGGAAGAAATGAGTTTAGCCCACGTGTTTTAGTGCCAACAGACAGCTGCACGTAGCAAGTTGCGAACAACGGGTAGTACCAAAATGGGCTTATGTACTACTATGCTGTTCGATATGAGCACCGCATCGGGCTGCAGTTAGCCCTGATGAACCTGTCAGTTGCTTATTCAATGCGTTGCTTAGTAAAGGGTGTAATCCTTGTTTTTCTGGTTTCTATTGCGCTGAGCCATATTAGAGTGAAAAAAGCAAAAAAAGTTTCATGTGATCTCAAGTTCTTCCAAATGTCTCACTCTCACTGTTTCAAGATACTTCTCCGTCGTTCTAGCGTGACCAGTGATAAAAATACGGTTAATATGCTTTACTTTGAAGCAGAGTCCTTTATTTCATCTAACGGCAAACCTCCTCCACTGTAAAAGACTTTGGACGCTAGACTTTAAAGAACAAATTTATTTCATGATATTTTATATTTAATGACTTTAATGAACAGATTTCAGTTATGTCAATTTTTTTTCTTACGCTGACTACAAAGCATTTCAGGCTCACGAACTCGCTACATGTACGATACCTAGCGTTGTTATATTTACTGTTTTTTTTATGAGACAGCTGTAGCTATGAATGAGCAATCCTCTTGTTGACGACAAGTCTGTTGCAGGAACCCCTGTAGCTATGATTCAGTTCACCTATAAATGATGAATCCCTGTAATTAGTTATGTCCTATCAAACGGTTAATAGTTTTAATCTTTGATGTCTGAAAAGGCGTCCTCTCTGCACGTGCTTTTCCTTTGACCAACTGCATCGGGCATCTACGTCACAGCACCTTTGACTGCTTCTATCGCTGGCGGTTTTTCACATCTTGAATGAAATAATTAATCCTTTAACCATGTAACTGTAACTTTGGCATTTTTCCTTGGTTGGTATATGACAAATCCGTTTTCGAATTGCCAGCATACGTGTCCAAGATATAACAGTTTTTGACGTCTGAACGTCATCGATAACACATTCCCTGTTTCCTGTAATAGTTGATCGCTTTGCTTACCCCTTTTCTGTATTAAATATGATTGCTTTGGAACACTTAGTATTATCGAAAGGGCACCTATCAGAACAACAATGTAGGCATTTATTCATAGGCGTGTGCCTAGCTTTGCATTTTCTGCTGCTTCGTTCTTGACTCATTCTATGGCCCACTTCGGAAGTATTCGGAAGAGGTGTAGGTATTAAGCACATGAATTACATGAATGGACAAAATAAAAATGGCGGAATACGCTTTACTACTGAAGAGGAAATTAACCACTCTCTATTCTTTCTGAATGTGCTGCTGAAAAGGACACCTTCGTTTGAATTTGAGAATTCCATATATCGGAAACCAACACACTCCAATCGATACATATACCAGGCTTCATGCATCCCTCCTGGATTACTGAGGAACGTAGTGAAGAAAATGTGTTTGCGAGCCCTAGAGACTTGCACTAACATTTTGGATCTAAAGGCAGAAATCCAACATCTTCACCAAGCGTTTCTAAAGAATAGTTACCGAAGGAGAATCCTTGATGAAGAAATTCTGCAGCCCAGCTCTAATTTCAAGTTAATTAGTTCATACTGACCAATGGTAATTCTGCCGTTTATTCCCCAGGCATCTCAGCGTATCACGAGGTGCCTTAATGTCAGTGGGTTTAGAGTCTACTACAAGAGTGGCAGAACATTTGGTAGTATTTTATGTAAGAAGTACATACCCATTAATAACCTGGATGATGCGTTAAATGTTGTATACAAAGTTCAGTGCAGAGACTGCGACAATGTGTCATTAGAAAGACCAACCGGAAATTGAACATCAGGATAAAAGAGCGCTTTTCTGCGATTCGCCTTGGACAGGCTGACAATTCCGGTATTGCCCAGCATGTGATTATTGAAGGGCATTCTTTCAGTCAGACCAATCTGTCTGTCACTGACAAAGACCAATCTAAGGTCACAGATCTAAGGTCACCAATCTGTCTGTCACAGACAAAGACCAATCATTAGGTTTGCTTATAAAGAAATCCTTACATATGCTGGCAACAGAACCAGATGTGTAATGAATACATATTTTCTCTTGTCATCAGTGAAAGCTGGGGTACAATCACGAATTGATATGCAAAATCAGATCAAAATGATAAAGATCCTATGTATTTTGATGCGACATTATACCTTGTTCAATCAATGTAACAACAATTTGACTGTGTGTGATGAAGCAATTGAAAAATTGGCATAATTCGCTTGTTGGATACGTAAATGTCTTCAGGCAGTCAATTATACTCAGCCCAGTCCTGATGCTGCTGCGGTCTGTGTGGTGAAATGCGTTGGCATTAAACGGTTGTGCCATCTGCTGCATTTGGTGCTCTGACCGTAAATCATTCAGATAACCATGTAAATTGGCAATTGCAATCGAATCCGAGAGTCGTGAATGCAGATTCAGTGACTCTAAGTAACTATTTTTTACATTTGAAATGGAGGATGAGGTTACTGATCTGATTATCAAAGTGTCAGAAGCAATCTTTGTGAACCGCGAAATTGGTTTGCGTCATACATGATTTCGGTTGAAAACATACGTCGGCGGATCAAGAAAATTAAAGCATCCATAGCTGCGAGACTAAACAGCCTGGATCCCATTATCTTGAAGCCTGACGCCTGATGCCGAGTCACCTAAAATTTTGCTGAGACGTGCAACCGCGACCCACCAGAATGTGCAGCATCGATTCATGGCAAGCGGATTCTGAAATTTCCTAGACCGTCTACAGTAGCTGACTGGAGACCTATTGCAGTGGCTTCAGTTGCTCTTAAATGTTTGGAAGGAATCTTCTGCCGTTGGTTTGTTCACATATGTTGGATTATGTCGATCCATGACAATTCAGATATGTGGGAGTGAACAGAAATCTGGAGGTGCTGATTGTAGTCGTCAACACTGTTTCTACCGAGCGTAAACGAAGGTTAAGCACTACTAACTGCTGTTTTGAATTGCAGCGCAGCCTAGAGTACGCTGCCAAGACTTCAGCTCTCCAGGCTGTTTTTCAGCGCGAGTGCGGAGTCAGATACTGTGAAACTGCAGAGTACATATTACTCAAGGTTCTGACATCTTGTTCAAATCGGCAAAGAAGAGTCTATGGCTTGCCTGACGACTCGAGGGGTCGCGCAAGTATTCTGTTTTTCACATCGGTATGCACAACGTGACGTCACTCACTCGATGCTCCCACCATGTGCGTGATGTACGCTGACGATATTGCTGTCAGTTTCCATACGGTCCAAATCTGAATTATTGTTTCGTTGTCTCTATTCAAGACGTATGGGACTAGTTAAGCAACAATGGCCTAACGCTTAATCAAAAGAATCTGTAAACTGTAGTTTGTATCGCAATAGGGGTGTAAGCAGCGTTTGTATGGTGGTTGCTTTACTAGCTACACAGTTCCACAGTAACAACAACTTGTTTGAAAAAATACTTTTCAGTTTTAAAATACCCGGGGATGGAAACCTTGGTTTGGAACAACAGATGAATGCAATGATTGGTAAAGTGCTGAGATCAGCTTCGGTATTGTAGTGATACAGAAGGTTGTACATTGGTTCAGAAGTGCCAAAAGATTTCTCCATTTGTGCATTCTACCGCTCTTCCTTTACTCTGCTATGACCTACTTCTGCAATCTCAGGAAAAAGCAATTGGCTAGCATCCGATGCTTTTTGAAAGTACTAAACGACTCTGTAAATGTGGCGCTGACGAGTTTGAATTCGTTCTAACCATATGCTTGATAAAAATAGGAGTTTCCATGAGTAATTCCATACGTACAGAACAGAGGCTTATCGAATGTCAGTCGTTCCGTTCGCTGTCCGATATCTGATCAATCTTACGAAAGAAGTGTCATTTTAGACCAGACAATGGTGAGTCTAATAATGATTTACTTTCACTTATGGTTTTGTTGTTTAGTGTTTGTTCATTGTTATATCCAGAATTGGAAAACTTATTTTTTGCCTTTTGGTTCAGTAAATGACTGATTTAATCTCCATCATGTACTG